GGCAGGGGACTCCTAAGGGGCAGAGCTCTGCTGGGGTCGAGGGAGTGGAGCTCAGACATTTTTTTAAAATTATTTGACGTCTTAATCGATTTCTCAAGATGCAATATGAAGTATTAAACAGTTTACTGAGGAAAGAAAATTTATGATTATGGCACCTCTAGATGGCCAGAAATTGCACTCTTAGACTTAAAATTAAATATATTTTGTTATGCTTCTTTTTAATTTTTTTGGAAAAGTACCGTAGCGGGTGATTTTTTTAATCAGCAACTGATCATCACACATTGCTGTTGCTGTGGTGGATAAACTTGGTTAGATAGAGGACACAGAGGGTACCGTTGGTGTTATAAAAAGGACATGTTTTTATCATCATAAATATATATACAGTATATATATATATATTAATATATATTTTCTGATAATTCTCGAGGGACTAGGGACATAAACTTAAATTACATAAAAGCAGGGCTAGACTAGATGTCCTAAAATTTTCATTTAGCTCTAGCGGTTAATTCCCTAACGCTCTTAATTCCTGTCATCCAATGTTGTAATGACGGCTTAAATGAATTTAAAATTTTGCTTAACGATCACTAAATACTAAAAAATAATAAAATAAATCGATTTACAAGTATTTTTTAAAGATTAATTTAGGTAACTTCATTTATATACAGTTTAATACTAATCATCACCATTCATGTTCTTGTGCTATTTTTATTCATTGAAAAACCCCAATGTCTACAGTTTGATGAGTGAAGAAGTTGTGGATGTGTCATATAAGATGCTTACCAACCCACTCCAAAACATCAAGCAAGTAATTATGGAAGGCGCTATACAAATATTCTGCCATTACTATTTTTTAGAAGATTATCTATCTCGTTTCTAATACTTTCAGTTGAGCAGATTTATATTTTTGATAAACTAAATACTAGGCATATTTGATTGAGGAAATAAAAAATCTTGCATACATATTATATAATGGATTGTTACCGGACCGATATTACTGTAAATGTGTATTCATTATTGATAAAAAAAGATATCTTATGTTGGTCTTCCATTTCGTTATGTGTGGTTGTGAGGGGCAATGCTTGTCAGCATGCTGGTATTTTTGTGACCTTGGTATATAGTCAAGCGACGAAAAAATAGGGCCCTACCTCCTTGGTAGAACCAATTATCGTTGGTAGAACCCTCATATAGAACACACCTATTAACGGGACACTTTTTTTTGTTCACGAAATCAGATACAGTTGTGTTTGACTCCTGTCTATTAATAAATTACTGGTTCATTCTTTTGAAGGAACACTCTCATGCAGGAGAGGTTCGACCATACAACAGAACAAAAGTTACAAGTAAAGATAAAATTCATAAAAAAGAGATAATAATGGAATAAAAATATTCCAAATGCAATAATGATATTATTATTATTATATAATATAAGTATAAAATCTTAACTAAAATTAATAAATAAAATAAATAATAAATAAAATAAAGGCAATGTATAATGGAAAACATACACATCAAATACACTACAGAAGGACAGTATATGCCCATGCATATAATCGTAAAGAAAGAAAAAAAAAATTATAAACTAATAACATTATTGGCAGGGTCATTTAAAACGTTTTTTCGTTGTTCCCATACGTCTTTTAGATATTCTAATACAGTAGTACTCATAAGTGTCAATATGAGACAGTTTTCTGTAGCGTAAGCATGATCTTAGCGTCTGGTCCATCAAGTCTACGACACATGGTGCAGTTGCAGAACGTAAACAAGACGAGACTGCCGGTGTTTAGGACTGAAAATGCTTTATTTCGTCGGGTTAGGACTTGGTGATGCAACAGATATAACAGTTAAAGGACTTGAGACTGTCAAGAAATGTAGTCGTGTCTATTTAGAGGCGTATACATCCATTCTTGGTGTTGAAAAAGACAAACTGGTAAGAAACGTTCGAAGTACCAACCAAGGAAGGGCAGGCCTAGGCTAGTTAGGCTAGCTAGCCAACAACAACAAGGCCTCCAACTAGCCTAGCATTAGGCTTAGGCACTAGCACTGCTCAGAGTGCAGTGGTAGCTGGCACAAGTGGACCAGCACTACCGAATATACATAGCTTGTACTAGGCCCACACATACGTTTTGTTTTGATTCAGTTTATTTAATTAATGCAAATATGGTGACCTCAATCATCAGACATTCCAACCCCTAGCTAGGAAGCCTGTTATTAGGTAGGCCCTAGACCCATTAGACCTAAAAAAATTGGGAGACGGGAGAATATGCAGGTAAAGGGGGGGGGGGGCCCACCGTTCCCACCAATTGGTGAAAATCGCCCTCAACGTCGAAATATTCTGATAGCATTAACGTCTTTCGAGAGGTGTATTAATATATTAAATTTATAAGATATTCTCATCCATGTGGCCTAGAAATTTAAAGTACTTTGCCATGCGAATCCCATGTTTTTTACAATCTAGGTCTAGCCTAGTCTGTAGTTTTTGAAATTCGGGAGAACTAAAACAAATTCGGGAGACCGTAAGATAGCATGTAAATTCGGGAGAATCCTGATCGAATTGGGTGTGGGGGGCTGTCTCTTATACACATTGGAACCTTTGAATCATAATCAGAATAAATTTCCATGATTCCTTACATAGACAAAGTCATGGAATTTGTTATCAGACAGCGGGAAATTGGGACAGCTGTCCCTGTTGGATAGCCCACCCTGCTCGTCCGATGCCATGACCAACAATATTTATTCAATTATTAATTTGCCTATCCAAATAACATTATTTTGATTATTGCTCCATTGTGGTCTAATAGAAGCCCCCTAGTCATTAAGGGATGCCGACGATTTTGGTTGTGAAAGGTTGCAGTTGTTTTTCACTAGGCTCTAGGCCAATAATTATTTATATGGTAGCTCAAGCAGGTCGGATAACATGTACTCACGGGCCAGAAATAGCCTGCGGTTACAAGTTGAGTACATTCATTTGTCATTAACTTTGTAACTTAATTTCAGGAGGAGTTTTATGGAAAAGATGTAATCTTGGCTGATCGGGACATGGTGGAGCAAAATTCAGAGGAAATGTTTCGAAATACTAGTGAAGAAGATGTTGCATTTCTAGTTGTTGGAGATCCATTTGGGTGATTAGGGCACATAGAAAAAACTGTTAGATTATCACTCCCACCAACGTCAAAAATTTGGAATATATTGATGCGGGAATAAAAAAAATTCTGTTTGCCGCATCATTTATTTCATCAACATAAAGAAAACAATGAAATTTTGTGACTGGAAGTACATTTTCTTTAAAAAACAATAAAATGAAGCCAGTTTTTATACAATATTTACAATATTCATGCAAAATTAAAACAGTCCATCCCACATCGATTAAAAAAAAGGAATATTCTATTGTTCTGATAAAAAAATAATTAAAATAAAAAATATGCCCACCCTTATCACTTTAAAAAAAAAAAAAAAGAAAAAAGAGTGATAGTCTAATAATTGTTTCTCTGTACCCTTAGATATATTTTTATTAAACTTTTGTATTGTCCCCTGAAAATAACAAAAAACTAACATACAATTTAATATTAGCTTGAGCATAGGAATTATTGAATTAAAAATATGTGTATCCTTTTTGTTATAGTGAATAATTGTAATAAAAATAATAAAACACTTCCAGTGACTGGAAGTGTGTTTATCATTTTTTGCTGTAAAATTGTGGGTAAACATTTTTAAAATGTACAAATTTCTATCATGTTGAAGTTGATAATTTTAATGTTACTTCAAAATGAGCAAGTTAATTTCAAAAATAATTATAAAGATTTTTTATTTATTTTGATTGGGACAATTACATCTTTAAACAGGCCTGTTGTGAATGGGTGGAGAGGTTTTTTTCCAGGGAAAGGGACCAAACTTGGCCTAGGGTGCCTCTCCACCGGTGTCCAGGGGTAGAGTCCTTGTGGGCGGGGAAGAGCGATCTGGGCATAATTATTAACGCTATTTTAATTAGATTTGAATGAATATTTCTTTTTAATGCAAATATTCTCAGTATTTATAGCTGTAATTTTATATGGAATTGGCAAATCTATAAATTTGATTGAATTTCCATTCTAGATGGACCTCCAGCACTGGATTGGGGTGGGGGAAGT